GTAGTATTAATGAGATTAAATAAAAGTCAACGCAAGTCGAGTAATTCATTGTACTCGCAAATAGAAGTGATTGATTTTGGTGACGCAAGCTTTTGGTAACCGATAAAAATAATATAGGTACAGTCGAGTGCATTAACGTTTTAAGCATTATTGCTCTGCAAATAATTATCGTTCCTTTAACTGACTTAAATATGGTTTCGCTTACAATCGCATGCATTTAAATTTTGCTAGTATTTATCTACTAAAACCGCGCTATAATAAATCGAAACGGCAGCATTAACTATATCTCTCACCCCGATTTACAATTAGAGTTGCCACTTCTCTGGGTTGCGTGAAATGTAAAACATCTTACTTAATTTTTAATAAAAGAATAAAAATGAATTTGGACAATTCTCTGAGTGAATGAAAAGTTTAAAAAGTGAAAAGTTTATTTCTGATTTTTGACATACTTTGTGATTTTATCAAGTTGTAAGTATAAGTTTGAATATGCGTGAAAAATAGTAAGCTATGGAGTACTAAAAATAAAATAAACTATATAATTTTGTTTTAATTTCCATGTATGCAATTGGATAATATCAATGAATAATGGATATTATACATTAGAATATTTAAATAATTTATCTATGATTTTTTGTCTAATTGTTTCAGTTGTTGCGACATTAAATAAAATATATTTTTATTTGTTTTCTATTAAATATTTAAATATGTTTTTTGCTTTAAAAGGATTTATGTTATATAATCAACATAACTTTTTTTGTTTTGGCAATTTTTATAATAAAACACTTGATACTCATTAACTTGTTTCTTTTTATATCTCCGGTCAAACGATCGTCCAGGTAGTCCTATCTACAACTCGTAGAAGATTGAGACACGGGCACGAAGCCCGTTGCAAGTTATTATTTTCACTCGCACCACCCCGGGGAGATGTATACCAGTATACCTATATATACGCGGCAGAAATGCCATGCCATGCCGGGGGGTACGACTCCGAACGAGGTTTCCTTATCGTACGTCGCAACACTCTGTTGTTTAGCGTAACGCGAGTATCCGCGGAATTATCGCGGGGCTGTCGCTTAGATTACGAACGAGTACACGATGCGCGCAGCGCGCACGGGTGTGCGACAACAGGCCGCATCGGGGTAGGACGGTAGGAGCCGCACGCGCGCCATTCGCGCGTCCTACTCGTTGCACACGGGAGTTCACTATCTCTCACTCAATTTAAGCCTCATCCGCCGTAAGCGGATCGGCCAAGCTGGCCTTTTAACGTCGGATAGTCTCGCCTCTCGCGGCTGCGCGCGGCATAGACGCCTATAACAAACATTATCCGCCATAATGCCCCCGTGTAAACATACCTTGCCTATGTGCCGCGCGTCTGCCACTCGCTTCCTTTCCCCCGTCCCATCCCTCTTTCCCGACGGGATAAAAACGTACCTCAAAGTTTATTTAAGCATTTAGCGCCGAGTTAAGTTTCACGCGGCTAAGCCGACTTTTCGGCACGCTTTCCTCTTCACTTCATTCGATACTTCCGGTTTAGCACGTGGCGCGACGTAGACCGTCGATTCCGCAGCAGACCTCGACTCCGAGGCGCGTACTTTTCACGCGCCGCAACATAAGAGAGACGATTGAATCACTCAAGTTCGGACCAACAGTCCTATATTTTCACGTACCAATCATGATATTAATGCGTATCGATCAATGTCGATTAACGCGTTTTTGTTTTTCGAGCTTTTTACAAGGGAGGTCCACCTGAATGTTTTAATTTGTTTTTCAATTTCGTTGGTCTTACCTAAATGCAGCACCTTTCAAAGTATAATACGCTAAGGCCATAGGCCAATATAATATAGGCCTATGACACTTTCAACAAAAAATTACTTTTTTCGAGCACAAGAACGAAACTTGTTGTTTTCGGTTTCTTTTGGACGCTGAATACGTCCAAATAGAGAAATTTGGCAAACGATCGATCGTATTCAGCGTCCAAAAGACTATCGAAGTTTCGGTTGGACGCACTGTCAACACTTATCTAATCTGATAATATAAATGTAGAGTAAAATGCAAATATCTCGAATGACAAAATATATATTTTTCCAAATAGTACAATAAAGTATATTAAGGGATTTCGTACTTTAACTCGTTTGTATTTATATTATAAACATCACACATCTTTACGTCGATTTGTGCACATGGCTTTAATGTGCACTGACAAGTGCGTCTAATCGAATTCGTTATAAGTAAAGGTTTAATAATGGTCGTTATTCGACGAAGAATTGCAGATTTGACCCTTTCGCACGATGTTCTCACGTAGGTTTGGAAAAAGAATGCGACTATAGCCACCTATTCGTTTCCTACCACTGGTCAGTTTTTCTTTAGGCGTTTTTCAAGAAGCTCGTCTTGTATTGGTGCCAGGTAGAAAAAGCTGACAGTGTAGAGACAGTAGGATAAAAGAGAATGATTCACGGATGTGAGGAAGAATTCAAGAGTGCATCAGTAACCGCAGTGCAGTGTTTCTGTGAAGATCGGCTGTGATGTGCATTTTCGTATACGGTGATCGAGATATTAAATATCATGTGAGAACTATAATAAATATTAATTGTGAACTTGTCAGAGAGAACGATGGTACGATTTACCAATAACGGTATTTGATTTTATTCTCTTTAAATGACAACTTATACGAAATTATTGTGCTATTAAGACCGATACTAATTTTTCACAGCGGTTGAACTACCTGAAATTGTTATAGCTCTTTATTTGCTTTTATTGTTGGCCGTATCTCTTTCTTGTATCTCAAAAGACATTTTTATTACATACTTCAGAGCGAAAAAGGAAATTAGCGGCGAGATCTGACGAGTCGGAGACGTAGCTGAGAAATAATAAATTGTTCGCTGAAATAATATGTCAACACTTTTGTCGTATTAATATATCATCTATCATCATGCGAGTCACAATGTTGCGTGACTAAATGGGCATAGAATGTAATTCGTTTCTCTTTAGCCAATCATGCGTTTCGGATAAATAAACGATTGGTTAAAACAGTGCTGGGATAATCGAAATTCTGCTGTATTATTTAAAGATCTAGGACTGAATTACAGTTTCAACGAATGTATTACATTGATCATTTTTATTGTTTTTTTTTTTATATATAGTGCATCCCTCTAAAAATAAACGGAGTAAATGAATAACGAAAAATTATCTAACAATAAAACTTAATGTATCACGAGACTTGTGAGCGAGTCTATATAATACCTACACTTTTTAGGCCTTGCGCACAATACAGCACACATATTAGGAATAAGAATAAATATTAAATATTAGGATATATATATAGATATATATATATATATATATATATATATATATATATATAAGAATATTCCTATAATAAATATTAATCATTAGGACGTGTAAATGTATAGTATTCCTATATTTACATCTTATATTTTATTTTTCTTCATTGTGCCTTACGTTTAATTATTATTTCTATTTCCGATTCCTAATATTTAATATTTATTCTTATTCCTAATATATGCTCTATTGTACGCTTTACTTTTCACATTCACTGTTTATTTATTATTCGTTCACTCAGAGTGTCCCAAAACTCTTGCATACGAAGTATACAGGGAAATTCTCGATATCAAATCAACTTATCATTTACCAAAACTCCGTTCAAATAATAATTTTTAAACGAGAGCTATTTGAAGTTGTCGAATTAGCATACTCTAGATTGCACGCCGCTTGCGAGAGTTTTAGGACACCCTGTATATATTCCAGAATATTTGTAAATTTGAACTTCTTATAAAATGTCTATGATCTTTTTGTGAAACGCCTTTTTGTAAAAAAGTCGGGTAATTCTTTAGAAAAACTCACATCTTTAGAAAAACACAGCTTGGATGACCTTGACCTTGACATATGTTATAGAGGGTTCACTCCTGAGTAACTTTGTTTTAACAATCATGTGGCGGTGTCTTAATTGCACGTAACAATGTTTTGGTCGTAATCGTAAGGCCGTAAGAAAATAGGCCAATCACGGTCGACTGTTCTCCTCGCGCTTGAAGAATAATCGAGTGTGATTGGTCTATTTTCTTACGGCCTCACGATTACGACTAAAACATTGTTACGTGTAATGGCCTTTATACATATATAGTTTCTGAGATATTCGCGAAAAACTAAAATTCTTTTTTTCGAGATATCGAAACAAGACTTGGGGATCTTCCTCAGATTTTGACGAGCTCTACAATTTTCGTTATATTCGTGAATTATTCGTGAAAAATAAAAATTTTTTTTGAGATATTACTTTATTATGTATAACAGACTTTTATGGGATATATGGTTTCAATACATATCCGTTCCTAAATACTTCTCACTATTACGATATTTACATATAAGTTTATATCAATATGTTTATGATAATTAATGCAAAAGCGAGGTTCACTTCTTCAATTGTTCTGTAGAAATATTCTACAGAATCTTCTGATAGATAGTAGAATATTTCTGTGCTCTCTGAAGGTTACTCTACTATCTACCTCCCCAAATTTGGGGAGAAAAAAAGCTTATAAAGTTTCCAATTCCTTTCTCCCACAGAGTTTCAAGATATTAAATCAATTTTAAAAAAAGAATTCTCTTTTTTTTGTACTTTATATAAAGTAATGAAACACGATATGCAAAAGTATAAGATCACTCGATGGACGATTATATTTTGAAAATTGAGATTTTCTTTAGAGTTTGGGAATTTTGAATAGTTTTGGTAATTTTTGATAAGTTTTCTGTCCAGTTTATTCCATGAAAACTTAGAAAATTTTCAACCAAAATCTCGTTGGATTTTTTTACTTTTATTTTTATTCCCAAGAGTTAAGAATAATTATTAGAACTCTTCATCCATAATTTTTACGAAAACATTAATCAATTAATTACTATTTATGAATAAAGAAATTAGAAGTTGCGGATAAATTATTGCAGAAGTAATATAATCACTGAAATTTTATCAAACGCTGATGATACTTTCGCAGGTAGAAGAGCGCCACTACGGCAGTGCACTGCCGGAAGAATTCACATCAAGACTGACGGAGGACAGCGTGAGGCGGCCATTATACGGCGCGAGCGGCGCTACTCATCGGGTGGAGAACAGCTGGTGGCCGGGCGACCAGGGCGGAGGGAGTCACGCGATAAGGGAGCGTGATAACAACGCCGCGGTGGCGGGTGAACTGGTTTCTCGTATCGCGGGCTGCCTGAATATGGCGGGTTACCTGAAGGCGGCGGGCGCGACCTGCGCCTCGACCGGAAACCCTCATCAATACCACCCACACGGACACCCGATGGGGGTTGGCACCCATCCGCATCCTCACTCACATCCGCATCCCGGCGCGCATCCCGGTTTGCCGTCGCACTTCGCCCTCACCCCGCACGCCCATACGCATCATGCGCTGGAACACGGTCTGGCAGCCGCGTTTCCGCAAGGTAAATCCTCCTCGTTTCTTCCAAGACGAGTTCAAATTTCGCTACTTAGACACGAATCTATTTGCTTTCAGTAAGACCCTGACTGTAAACTTTTACCATAATCCTGAACTTAACTCTCTAATGCCAAGGTGGTTTTTTAGGACATACAATTTGATCAATGTACAAAATGGATAAAAGAAGTAAATGATAACATGAAGCTTCTTCCTTTGTTTATTTATATGAAGAAGAATACAATAAATAACGCGGGTAGCTTTTAATCGACCCAACCGGCCAAATTTATTTTTCTACTTGCGAAGAAAAGTCATTGTTTTCTGTTTTGGATACAATGAAGTTTATTAACTGACTTTAAATAATTGCAGTAAAACAAAGAACTGTAAGTAAAATATATGAAGCCATGAGTTGCATCTGACCCCGCCTTACCATTAGAGGATTAAACGGTTATAATTGTCAACAAAACGTTAAATTTTAGTGAAAAGTCAACGATGTAGTCCATATTTCTTAGTGATGATTTGGAAAATAAGATATACCGTTTTGGTGTCTATTCAATAACATCGAAAATTGAACTCACTAATACTGATTATTGCATAAAAGTCTGCAGCACGAGATTTTAGGCGGGCGATTAAAGAATTATACTGCATGCTACATTATTTAGAATCAGGATTGATATCGAGATAATCACAAATCATAGACGCTCGAATAATGGCTAACTAAAATTTTTGATTCGGAGTTAAGAGCGAATAAAGCGAATTGGGTTTTTAACAATAAGTCGATCGTAGTAATTAATTTGAATACAGTGTCCTACTTGCGGGATGTCATATATTTGAAAAATGAAAAATGAAATTGCTTGCACATTCCTGCTCGAGAATAACGGTAGATCCAGTTATTGGCAATAATGAGACTTAATACCGAATGTATACGTATTCGGGACGGTCGTAATAGCAAGGGATTCGCACGGTTCGATATTGATGTGCATGCACGGAAAAGTTTTCACGTAATCGTGAGGTGGCGACAGCAGTACCGTTCTCCGTGTCCGTGTTTATTAGCTGCATCGCTTAATACACTTTTCAAAACGCTTCTCTTTCGCGGAAACATTCATATGAACCGTGAAATGCCGCGAAATGGAGAAAAGATGAGCGAGATTTCCGAAGGTGATCGATCTAGCCGGCTAATCCACTGAAATAAAAGACGAGTGTTTAATCTGCGCGACTCGGCGTTACAGCAGTGTGACAGATTTTACGCCGTATTCATTCAACAAACGCCGTCGGATAATCTCTCCGCGCTTAAGGGAGAGCACTGGAAATTGTAACTTTTCCGGATGCCTAATAGAATAATTTAATTCTTCGATCATTTTTACGTATAAATTGCTACGTTAAATTTCAATTATTTGTAAGTAGATTCTAAACTAAAAAGCATTTTAAATCAGTTAATAATAAGACTTTCGCGATCAATTTCGAATATTACATTTTTTATGTGTGTTTGTCACACTGCAACTGGTTAACAAATACAGAAATTATACATTTTTACTTTTGAACGTTAAAGTTCAATTATTTATAATGTAGATTCTAAACTAAAAGCATTTTAAATCGGTTGATAACAAGAATTTTTGATGTGTGTTTTTATACTCCTTTTAATAAATATAGAAATTATACATGTTTATTTCTAGAGAATTTAAGAGAAATTTTTCTATTTTTTCGAGTCTATCAGATCTTGACACTATCGATTTTATTATTCCTTCTTTTTTTAGTCTGATATTTAATATTGGAAGTAAATATTTTAAAGTATTATACAATTGGAGAAAATTTGGCGTAGATTACCCAACAATTTGTGTGTGATATTCAAAGTACATTTACCGCAGAAAAAGCTTTCAAAATCTATTGTATATACACACACACAAAATAAATCCCCCTTTTTTATCTTGTGCCTCTTTTATACGTTCTATCACGCCCCTAGCATTGCTCCATTTGCTAAGCTCTTTTCTTTCTTCTCTGTATTGCGAACGGATAAAAAACTATTATTATTATAGCTCTCACATGTAATGAATATTTAATTTATTATATACCGAGTTAATTTAGGGTTTTAACACGTTGCTAGCCGTCGTAAGAGCTGTAAGTAAGAGTATTTCACGTGGACGCCATATCCGCCGTTATTGATTGCCATGCAAATCGATGCATCGACTGAAGCCATACGAATGTCGAGCAATCTCGGGGCTTCTCAGCTATAGCTCTCATTGCAAGTTGGCGAAAAATACGCGCCACGAGAGTGCAGTTCTCTCTCGCAAGTTTTAGGTTTCCAAATGAATATATAAAAAAGTTTTAAATGTTATACAGACCATTGCATACATCCGTTCAAACTTCAAACGCGCGTTACGGAGCACACGCAACGTTTTGAACGTTGGAGATGTGCTTTTTCGATCGCTTCGGGACTGCGAAATGTTCTCGCGACATCGGCACTAGCTTCGAGGGAACCTCGATAAACAGAACATTCGCGAACCGTCCATTATGCCTTTCGTGGTCGAGCGAAGCCAGAAATGTCCTCCCTGTAGAGAACCGATGTTTTCCAAGCACCTGGCGAACGGAAAACCCCGGAGGATCGGCCGCGGTACATCAAACAGAAAGATAAAGAAGCGCGGCGGTTTCGGAGAGAAATTCCCTTCGTGCCCGCGATTCCACTCTCGAAGGTCGTGTTGCCGGGTCGGTAATTGACTGCATAAATTTTCCAGTGTGCCACAGAACGCGCGTAGACGAAAAGAGATCGCAGAAGGAGGATGGGGATGGATGAAGGTGCGCTACTGAGAGAGAAAGGGTATAGAGCGAGAGTAGAGTATAGAGGGTATAGAGTAGAGCGGGACAAAGTAAAGAGAGGAGAGAGAGCGTGCTTTCACGTCGCTTTTCTTTAGCGGCACGATTCGGCGGAAAGCAGCATCATCTCTCCTCTCTTTCCCGTCCGTCTTTCGCCGTTTCGCTCTCTTTCACCCACCGCTCGAAAGAGGGCTCGGCGGCGGGAGACACGGGGGTGCCGGGGGCAGAGTGTCGAGGAGATGGAGTGGTTGGGAGCGGGGGCAGGGAGAGGAGGAGGGGGAGGGGGTCGGGGGATGCTTCGGCGAAGAAGAGTGGAGAGAACCATGAGAGTAAGCCGCTTATCAGGGTGGCAGCAGGCAGTATAGGTCCAACCGACGCAGATAGGTGGGTTTCCATGGAAACACGGATCTGTCCGTTAGGTCCCTACGTACCTACGTCCAGCGGCTGCCTCTATCCGGTGTAGGCGTGTATCCGCGCTACACGAAAAGCCGCCGAACGCGAGAGGGACAACGATTCGAGAATGCGGCGCGGCACGGTCTAGGTATATAGACAGAAATAGAAACAAAGGAGCGGAACGGAGGGAACGGAGAGCGACAGTGCGCGGCGGCTCGTGCCGTTCTGCCGAGTCGTACTTAGACTTCGCTTTTATAGTCCGCATGCGAAGCAAACGCCTCGCTTATTAGCCACGGTCACGAGGCCGCGAGATTCACTTTTCTCCTAATCTCACAGCTTCTCGCGGATAATTCCGCGAGGTTTATATTCTCCTCATTGATATCCTTACTCTCCAAATCTGATAGAGTGATTTTGCTACTAATATATTAGAGTGATTGCGATAGTCATTCCAAAAAAGAGAGTTGTTACTTTAATTTGAGTAAATGCGGCACTCATAAGGTAGGAGTTTTCCACTCAAATTTTTAGAGTGGTTACTCTACTGGAGTGACACGATCTCATTCTAAAGCTATAGTGAATCACAATTCACTAAAGATCGACTGATAAATGACTGTAGTAGAGTGAAATTTCCCACACTGGGAGAAAAAATAGTTGCAGTTTCACTACCACAATTTCACTATAATTTTTAGTTATTTTCTGTGCCAACTATATTTTTATAGTTATTTTTACAATTTTTGCGAATTATAGCTGATCATATTATATTACATTATTGTTGTCATAGCTTTAGCATGTATTCATTCAACCATAACATGGTTTTATACACTATAACCTATAATTTATGTATAGTAGGGTAGAGCGGGGTCAAAAGTAACAATTTGACTTTAGAACTTGATTGTGGAAGAACTATTACAATAAAAGAAAAACTCTTGATATACCCTAAGTTAATGTGATCATTTCACTTTATGGAAATCCTTTTATTTAAATATTGTGATAAACCAAATAAGAATTATTAATCAAAAACATAAACGAGGGAAAATATTACAATCGCCCCCGACTCCAGGTCGGTTGCAACACTATTAGGGGGTCGATAGTAATAGTTTTAAATAATCAGAATAAAAAATGTTTATTATATTATATTATATTCTCATACAAAAGAAGTAAAATAAAATCTTATTCTATTAAAACATAACTTCTTGATATCAATTATAAAAAACATTAACTTTGTTCAATTAATTATAAACATTTTTTGTTCTTATATTTTTAAATGATAGGAACACAATGTCTTTAAGGACTAGTACAAATAAAAATTACTTTTTATTCGACCCCACACAATAATGTTACAATCGTCTCGAATATGTTTTTGAACTTTGACTTAAAATTTTTAATAATAAAATGCCAAAAATGAATAAGTAATAATTATTATAATAAGCAAAAATAACGAAATTCAAATATAACCTAAAAGAAAAAGTACTTACTTGCAGTGGATATATTATATTAAAAGTTCAAGATTGATTGAAGAAACTACTTTACGGCCTCAAAAACATATTTTATTTATTGCACACGTCCATTCAATATCCAGGCCGCAGGCGTTCTGAGACACGTTATATATATAGCTTGTTCAGCTTCATCTGTTAACCAACAGACACATGCGCATCTATGCCTATAACTATAGATATTTGAGTTGTTACTTTCGCCCCGCGTTTCTTTTGACCCCGCTCTACCCTAAGTCTACTATAAATATGATGAAAATGACCATACTCGAAAAATCTATACATATATAGACTTTACTAATATTATAGCAGTAATAACTATATAAAAATAAGAACCTCAACCATAATTATTTTTCTATGCAATTATAGTCGCAAATATCAAATACTTTTCTCTTAGTGCACTCAAAATTGTAAAGTGACATAATTCACTTCTATAGACACTGATCTACTGCAGTCGAAAAAGGTGTCCTTTCGCTCAAATAAAGTGCGATTTCACTCCAACTTATAGAGCACAATTTAACTCTTTCTTAGAGCGAATCACTCGAAGTGCACAGGCTCAATTTTCACTTTTTGTTACACTTGCCTTTCACTCACTTTGAGTGATATTTCACTCTTTGACTTTTAGAGAATATAGGTATCTGCAGACATTGAGGTGTCTTAATCTTCTTCACACTCCATTTTTTGCGCGTAAAAAAATGATAATTAGATTGTGGAGTTATCGTGTGGCAGACATTTCTCGCGAATTAATTCACGTGACGTCCGTCAACGACAACGCGTGGACGGAAAAGGGCTATTTCATGTCGCTCGACACGACGTTAATTTAAAGTCGCGCGTCGGTGTTTATTTTGTTATGCAATCGCGCGCAGGCAGGCGGAGGTATGATCGCACCCTGATCGACGAAAGAACGATAGCTTCGGGCAAAAGGTTTTGCCCGAGGAGGCGTGAAGGGGATATGCAAACGTAGGACTCCTCTCCCCAGGACTCGTGGCATGCAGCGAGATACGTGGGAATCGCGTCATGTGGCTACCGCCCTTTCCCATCCGAGCTACTATTTGTTGTTACAGAGAAATTGCCCGTCCACTTAACTTCCTCCCGCTCGTCGTAAGCGACAGCGGCGGTGGCAGCGGCGGCGGCGGCGTTGTGGCGTATGAATAAAGACACCGTTGTCGACAATTTCCTCCCGTCGATTGTCAATCGAAGGGGAGCGACGGAACAAGTGATTTTGATCCCAGGCTCTCGTATACGCGACATGCGCCTTTCGGAGTTGCGAGACGTAATGTATCCGTCGTGTAACGTTAAGAGATACGTTGTCGTTGGAAGATACTCAACGACGGAATAATTTCCGCCCTAAATATTTGACTTGAAACCACGCTTGCCGAAAGATATCGCGATTTATTTGCGATTGTTACGAGTCTTTGTTGAAACTATTTTTGAAAAATTAGTGACAAACGGGGCACATTTGATCCGATATATATTAACTCTCTAGTGGGCGCGTGAAAATTTGAGACGTAAAAGGATGCGTGGGGTGTAAATTACACCCTACATTATTTATGAGCAGAGTTGAGAAGTAACGTGTTACCATTATTTTTACTTTTTTTCTGTAACGGTAACATTGTTACATATTTTTACAGTAACGGTAACGAATTTAACAGTTACTTTTATCGTTACTTCAGTTATCCCTATTTAATAGATTAGCTGCTATAGCGCGCTAATAGCGCGTAGATATTAGATATTCTTGATTGGATAGAAATATTCCCTTCTAGCATCTTTTCTCGCATTACGCAGTTAATGAAGTTTGGTATTGTATACGTAATATGAAACACTGAAAAAAAGGTTTGGTTATAATAACCTAAGGCTTGGTGAAATAGCTTCAACTAAAGGATTTAGTGATTATGACGAAATATTTGGTTAATGTTAACAAATTTGGTTAATGTTAACAAATTCGGTTAACATTAACCAAATATTTCGTAATAATCACTAAACCCTTTAGTTGAAGCTATTTCACCAAGCCTTAGGTTATTCTAATTTAACCAAACTTTTTTTCAGTGAACTAAAGACTAGTTTAGCGAGTTTGAATATTGATTATTAAGTAATTTAATTTTAAAGTCAAATATTTTATTTTAATACCTATTATAAAATAATAGCGAAAAAGTAACGATAACGGTTACTAACGATAGCGTTACTTTTTAAAATTAGTAACGATAACGGATTATTTTTTACTTTTACGAAGTAACGTTCCCAACTCTGTCTTAAAGTATATTAACAATTTGAAACTTTCAATATTTTTTCGATAATCGGTTCTATTTTGAAATGAGTCTAGAACACTCATTTTTGCCAACTGCTGTGGGATGTAAAATACATGCCACGCGCCCACTGGAGGGTTAAAAACTTCTCGAGATTATTGCAATGTATGTACAATTTGTTAATTCAGTCATTTTGAAGCAAACGTCGCGATTATAGCTGCTGGTAAAGGCCAGCTCGTTCCTCGCTTGTCAATTCGGTACGATTTCAATCACTCAATTAGGCGTCAGGTTAAGGGCGGCACGTGGCGCGGGCACGTGCTACACACTCGCCGCCGTTACCAAGTAGCCGCGAAACGGCGAAACGCGATGAAAGAGCCGCTTCCGTGGCGGGCGCGTGTCACGGGTAAATTGAGTAGGCGGACGTGGAGAGGCCAAACACAAATCCAAACCTAATTGCAAGACAAACACTCGAGGCTGAGTGAAATGTCACGTACGGCAGGACATCGACACTCGCTCTCGGAAATCTCGCTTCTTCTTCCGTCGCGTCGTTTCTTTCGCATTTTATTACCGCGCGACGGTCCTATCGGAATTATGTCTTCTGTTATTGATACGGCGCGAGAGATCCGGGCTGCGTTTACCCAGGTTCCTCTCGTACGCGCCTGGAATTCCTTTACGCAAACATTGCAAACACTTGGAAATTTTGCTGACGTTATACACGCGGTCCTCACGTTGCTACGTGAGAAATCGATGCATAAAATATATAAAGTCTTTATCTCACGATTCCTCGTGCTTCCCGAAATTAGTAATTCATGCTCGCCATCGTTACTTAATAAGTACCAAATAACTTTTCGAAAGAGTGGACGTTGCGAGGAGAACAGCTCGGAACGTTGCAACGCGAAACTTATCCGCTTACACGCCCGTCCCTGACGCATGTTGGTATTCTGTTACGTCCTTACCGTTCATATCCGTTAGATTATCGCATGGGAACGGTTATCCGCCACGGCTGCACTTTGCATCTCTTCCTGCTGGAACTTCCTTGTGAATGACAGTTTCTTTCGGTTTCTTCTAATGTCGATGCAGTATGAATAATTACTTGGCAGCTGAAACAGTTTAACAAAAGTGTTTTAGCTTAACAAAGAATCTATTTTGTATTTGCTTTAGACGATCTTTAATTCGGGACAGATTTTGGAACGTAATTTTATTTACAGTTTTATGGTCTAGTTAATAAAATTTGTTTGAATTGTTTGAATGTAAAGTATAAAATTATTATAAGGATGTTCTTAGTATATTAGGTACATTGATCCTATATTTATAGATATACAGAATATTATTGTTGTTAGGGATACATGTACGAAATACACACACATGATACATATTACATTACACATAACATATGTCGGGATATATGTTATAAAATGGTAACTATTATTTGTTCTGTATTCTGTCGTAAATTATAGATGTCTAAAGTGGTTCTTGAAATATCTTTGCACTTTTCGGAACAACCGAAGAATTTTTAACAAAAATTTTCCATTACTTGCAATATTGATTCACAGCAAATCAACAAATTTCTTACGTACCAAACCAACAAACGAATTACCATCAATTTGGCAACGGGTTTAAACACAGGATACCGAGATACCATCCGTACTACATTCGCGAAGGTATGATTTTGAAGAAAATATATATAATGATAATGGTGGTGGTGTCTATGACTGAGAGAAATAAAGGTTTTTAAAAATCTCAGAACTTTCTTAAATTTCTACATAGAAATAAGATGCACAAAAGTAATACGCGATGGACATTAAAGTCGATCAAAAATGAATATTTTTAGGCTATCTATAACTTGCGACAAGTTCAAAACAGAATCCTGTTTACAATTTTATGCACTATGTGATCTGCAAATGATTTGAAGAATCAGAATATTTATATACAGAATTAAGTTTTTACCTTGCCTATTTCAAATATGTCTATTATTTTTTACGATAATACAAAAAACATGCAAAGAAAAAATTTGATGGAAAAAACTATGATCAGAATAAAACTTTTTTGCTGAGAAATATGAAATTTTTTGTTGTCTCTAAAGTGGCGAATTATACTTGAAATTTTTATCTAATCTAAAGATTTTTTTGGAAATAAAAGCAAATATAAAATCATTAAAGATACGTTATTAAAATCATTATGTTTAAAGAATGAGCTGAATGCTCATAATTGGAATGTATGTTGACGAAAAGGTTGACGAAACTAACGCGTCACTTCAGTTTCTTGTCTCGAATCTTCGATTCATTGCGATCACACGGTGGTCACGTTGTAAGTAAACGCAAAGTCGGCCAAATGTTTTCGTAGCTGATGGCCTTTTAGAATTCCCTCTTCTGTCACCGCCCGCCACGTGCTGTCATCCCACGGTGCCCCCCCCCCCCCATACTCCCGCCCCCCCCCCCCCGCCCCCCCCCCCCCCCCCCCCCCCCCCCCCAATAATCCAGCCCTCCGCCCCTGGCACCGCCATGTAGCAGCCTATTCGCGTTTTAGCTTTTAATTAATTTTCGATTCTGTGTGCCCGAGCGTGCCCCGCCTTCCACTGTCTTCTCCATCCACGTTTCGCCTCTATGAATATCAAAGTAGTCATCCGGTTCTCCGCGGTGAACCCCGCCATTTTACGGTTCTTCGACACTCTCTGTTCTTTGTTTACGGATTTTTATCAATCCATCGTTTTAAGGATTCCTAGCGTTTCATTATATCGTTAATGATTAAAATTCCATTCACAGTTGCAAAATTGCTATTTTAAGTATAGATACTTTTTTCATTTTATCAATAATCTGCTAGGACAGTTACAGTAAAGGCCATTGTACGTAACAATGTTTTAGTTGTAATCGTAAGGCCGTAAGAAAATAGACCGATCACAGTCGATTATTCTCCTCGCACTTGAAAAATAATCGAGTGTGATTGGTCTACAATATTTTCTTACGGCCTTACAATTACAATTAAAACTTTGTTACGTGCAGTGACCTTTAAATCTATTAAAATCGAGATATGATCGCGCACTTTTTTCATCCATGGAGGTATATGGCAAAAACCAGCGCTCCGCGGTTTAAGGGTCAACCTGTGCAAAACCACGAGGGAAAATAGTCTCGAGTTACACAATGCGTCTGCCTGAAATAAAATTTTTTTAAATCGGGAATGACGCGCCAGACAAAACCGCGATTAAACGATGGTGGAAACTTTACTGGTGCGCGTATTATTCAGTCGACTATACCTACATGTAATTGCAATTAATTACCATCAATTCTCTGGCGTATCAGTAATATGTTGCACTCGAGATAAATTTCTGACGCCGTATTTCAGCAGTAACGGGGATTTTCGACGTTATCTAAATCGGACATGCATTTATTTGTATTAATTTACGGCGCGTAAGTCTAGATACATCGAGGAATAATAAGTAATAACGTGTCAACGAACGCCGTTAATTATTTCCACGTCGCTGCGTACTTTGTCGTGTAGTCGGTGTTAATTATACACCTCACTGACGTCAATTAAATCTAACTATAGTTTAATAAATCCACTCTTTTCTCAGATATTTCATCAGATATTTCATCAGATCTCTGCATATGATTTAGATACACGAAGAAAGGATATTTATTTAATTAGCTTCGAATGACGTTGGTGAAATCAATTAAGATTAACTCCTACATATGTTACGTTATTCTTGATATTCTATTCTATGCTTTAACGTGCAAGTTGCAAAATACACAATTATGAGCGTTAAATATCGCAGTTATCACATATAAATAATTAGCGAGATTACCACAGCAAATATTTCTGTTTTCGGTCGCGATGAGATTTATCTAACGTGTTTCGAGTTTCGGACGCACACGCGAAGAGCACCGGCAGATCGCACCGTTGCGTCGGACTGTTGCGTGAAAGAGATTACGGTGAAATTTTGTTAGCGGTCCATTGACTTACGACGAAACGGCGAAACGTGACGAGCGCGGAAGAATCCTATAAACGCAAAACGAATTTGCTATTAGGGTCGCGTCTGATCTCGTTGCAGGCCAATGAGGCGGAGCAACCCTTATATCAACCCTCCCGGTATCGCGTCTCACTGACGATAATAAATCGAATCATACTCCGGGAGTCAGCGGGTGTTTGCCAATCCATTAGGGTCGCTTAGCTGACTGTCTCTCTTTAAAACACGATACGGTTGTCAAGAGTTTTTTGTTCGCGCATTTAAATCAGTTGATATGAATTCTAAAATGCTCTCGTTCGTCATTAAATAATATGTAACTTTTACCAATTTTTCAGAATTTTAAGATTTAAAAAAAATGGTAACGTGGTTAGCATCTTCGTTGAAAACAGATATTTCAACGTTATCGTGTTAAACATAGCGAGCGACGGAAAACATATTTCTTCCCGGTCGCGGGAATTTTAGGCTCGTTTTTTCATCGCGATTTAGAATCACAATGCGTGCTTGGAATATTCAGGCGTCGGATAAAGTGCACAAAATACGGCTTTGGAGAACTTGTTCGGTGGCGCCTTGCGTGTCAAGGAAGCGAGCGGAGGGCCATAATCGGGGAGCCATTGTCTTGGCTGTGTAGAAGTGCCCGGCTCTCTCACCGGACCGATGCGATGGTAAAGGCCGTCGTTAACAGTAGCACCGACGCCCACTCGACAATCAGAGCGTCCTCTCTGAGCTATTCTCCATGCCCACCGCCACGGCGCGGCGGCGGGATCCAGTGACTATGGACACGTAAAGATTCCCAATCAAATGGGATTTGTTCAACGAATAATTCAGTGTGCGTAAGACCCTAAGACCGTTATATGCAACCGCTGTAAGCTTGAATATAGACGAACACATGTAACAAATATTGAGTCAGAGTTAAGTAAGTCACTAGCAAAAGTAAATGGAAGTTGTTTATGACTATTGCGATTGTGTAATGCTGAGGAAATTTTAACAAAATGTATAGACACTTTCTTGATACGCTGCATGTTATCTCGGGAGTGACGGCCCGAGATTGTTTTACTCCACAATGTCCATAATCAATGGCAGATCCGTGCCGGAGGCGGCGAGATACGTATCATAGATCGAACGATCGCGGGTGTGTCGCGTCTGTCACACGAAGCAATGGCGGTGATACCGACCACCATTGGCGTTTGTACATTGTGAGTTCGACGCAATCTGTTCCGAGGATCTACTCCGGTGCCATACTCGTAGCCCACTCGACCAGTTCGTTAGCCAATCACGCAGGTACCGTCGTTCGTCGTCATCCTCCTTATCCTGGGTTCTCTTCGAACCCGAGAAGAGCACCCACAAGAGATTGATACAACGTTGTTTCCTTCTTTTGGACCGCTCCTTCCTTCAGGGCTTCGGTTACCTCGCTTTTGTCGTCGTTGCTCCTATTGATAAACTATCGTCTCACGTCGAAACGCTTTCGATTGAGTCCCAAGTTGTATAATTTTAGGTATATTTATTGGACGAGTGGTAAGCTTCGCCGATTCGTTTTTCTCGTGAAATAACTTTTTTGTGATAATTATTTGAACACTGTATCATATTATATGTACTAGATATAGAGTACAGATTAGAGTTAATTTAATTTCTTCAATTATTATATAGCCATTTAATTAAATTTCTTGCTGTCCTGGTACTCAATCAGTCACTTATTCCAGTCATTCTTCGTTATTATTTGTTTTTGCCATGGTTCACCACGTTTATACGCAGTTTCTAGGAGTTACTTCGGGAGCCACTTTTTTCTGCTATTCGCGTCTTTAAATCGCTGTCCCGCTTTTTGTTCTGCATCATATCTTTCCCCGCTGACGCGGACTTTCTCCTTTTTTGCATCGCGACGATGCGTCTTTTTTTCTTTATTGTGCTACGGTGAGCGGTGGGCTTTCAAGTATGGCGGATAAGAGGAATATGGAAGAGGAGAAAGAGAAAGCATCGATCGTCTCGTAAACAGCTGCCTCGCGTGTCTCCCAAGTCTTAACGGGACGATTACAGACATATACCTACTTTACGAGGCGGGGCTTCGCCAATCTTCCGTGAATGACCCTATTCTCTCAATTATTCAACTCGTATGACCGTCGGTCATTCGCGGGCTGTGAAATCGGATAAAACTTTTGCTTTGAAAAAAAATCTCGCAGGTTCGAGACCCGTGCAGATTAGAACGCATCTTGATCGAGTACTTCTGCTTTCTTCTTTTCTTCCTTTTCTTCCCTCATTAACACCGCGAGTTCTCCGCACGGAACGACGAGCTTGAAAATTCGGCGCATAAAAATACTTCACGACCCGGTCTCCGGATTCCACCATTCCGCCTGCGACTTTACGATCCGGCTTCCAACCCGAAGACACTGGCGAGGCGCAGTTTTCCAGTCGCTCTTTTTTATTGGTTCGCGACGAGGACGCGCCGGGTACACTCACCGGCGCGGCGTGGCGTGCCCGCCGAGGGCCCAGCGTCGTCGTTTTCAGCGGCAGCTGGGAGCGTACCGCGACTTCGGTCCTCTGGATGCTCGTGTATTCCGGGGTGTATACCCTCCCTCCATTCCCCTCACCGGCACCCCCGTGACCCCCTCATAAGCGGATTACGTGGGTCCCGAAACGAGCCAAGCGAGGCTCGATGGCACGAGGAAGGTAGCATGGGGTGAACCGAAGGGGGGAAGGGGAGCTGTTCAAAATTACGCTATCGCGACCTCGCAACGCTCACACCCCTCCTCGTCAAACCCCCCTTTGCCGCCCTGTGCGCGCGGGGTAGCAACCCCCGTCTTCGTACAAGACACCGATGTCGCAAACGTTCCATATTTGAAGACGTCGTATCGATGGTCGTTCCACGTGAATGTATTGAAGACTCAATATCGAAGCCGCTCTCACGATAACGGCGTACAATTCTCTGGCGGTTACAACCTTCGTTTCTTTTGATTTCCCGCGCATTTTATGAAAAGCATCTAAAACCGTATTACGAAATCATCGATTGATTTAACGGATTAAAACGCTCAGATTAGATATCAATCTTTCATTGCTTTTTTTGAACGCTGTGAAGAATAATTTTGAGATCGCAACGGGGATCAGTGCACGACGAAAGAAAATTTCTGAGATTTATGAAACGCCACAATTAATAACGAGCGCTCCCTTCGCTCATGTTGCAGGAATGAATCAACGCAAACAACGTCGCGAGAGGACGACCTTCACTAGAGCTCAACTGGATGTGCTGGAGGGGCTATTCTCGAAAACGAGATATCCGGACATCTTTATGCGAGAGGAGGTTGCCCTCAAGATCAACCTGCCGGAGTCGCGAGTCCAGGTAATTATTTTTTTCTTCTTTTTTCCTTCTTTTTCGTCCTGCCCGCAGAGAGAGATTTTACAGCTTCTAAAATATCGCTGTCAACAATATATAGAAATAATCGTGGAGGCAGACGGAAAATTAAGTCTTCTGAACTTTCGGTGAATAAATCGCGCTCTTTGGCGAGTAATCCGAGATTGCTATCGTCAATTTCGCCTACGGTATATTAACTTGACATTTAAAGTCATTACATTCTTTGCGCGTCAAATTGCACAAAATGTAAAACGCTGCGGTACGCGACGAAAACGAGAAGACGGGGAAGAGAAGCAGGAGAGGGAGCGAGAGAGAGAGAGAGGCGGACGGGAGCGCGTTTCGTGCTTCGGCAATCGCGGACGAGATTTAAGATATTTACACAGCGCGACGTTCGCGCCCTTATACGTCGTTCCATTTCGCCATTGTCCCAACCCCGCGTCTCGTACATTGATAGATGTGCCGACGAGCTCGTTGACGCTTTTATTGCGGTTCCCGTGACATCTTTATTTCACGACGGGACGTTACCGAGTCACGATCGCGCGCGGATCTTGAGTTCGTGTCTCGAATACCGAGCCTCGACTGCGCCCGACCTCCGCTATTTACATGCAATTTTCAAGAAAAGTCTCGCGATACGCGAGTTGAAGATGAACATTTATTTAGACTCGTGTTATGTTACATTTCCATATTAATAGACTCATTAGACTCCTATAATTGTGTGATCTTTATAATTAGGAATGGGAGGAGGTCCCAAATTGTCAAGTAAAATATCGAACGTGGACTTAATGAGAGATATTTATCAAGAATTAGACTGTTTCTTTGTCCAGTTCTCGTTAAAATAAATTTCTCCTGTAGATACATTCGTCATGCTAGTACACTCGTCAATATCACGCAAATTCGTTAGTTTGAAATCTAGAGACACCAATTGATTAACATTTCTTCAATGTATATAGGTATATATACGTGGATTTTAAATATCTCTTTTAAAGCTCTCTCTAAAGCTTTCTTCCTCAATAGATCTTGTTCGTAGTCCAGCGCGTTTGCCTGTTATCTGAGTCCGTTTGAGTCACTGCGCGCGGATATCGCAGCATCGTAACTGGCGTTCTACCGGGAATCGTGAAATATATAGGACAGAAGCGTGGAAATTTAGCCCGGGGAAGTGAAGTTTCCACGTGAAGTTAAGCCGCCGTGAATGGCGACGCAACTGCAAAAGGGTGTACCGCGCACGCACACGCACGCACGCACGCGCACACACACACACACACACACACACACACACACACACACACACACAC